TCGAAAAATTCGGTCATTGCCGACATCAAGTCGTTGTCAGTCTTCGGCTCTTTCAGCTCCTGGATCCTCTTCAGAATCTCAGCGGACGTCTTGCAGTCCCGACACTGACTGAAGGTGGTATCATCCACAGTCGCACGCAATATACTTCTGGCTTTTCCATCGGCAGCTATCCACTTCAGGTGGTGCTCATGCACAGCTTTATCCGTTGCCGAATCCTGGGGCATCGTCAGTGTCCCGTTCACAACGGACCACAAAGACTCACCAGTCAACACGTCCTCCACCTGTACCCGCCATCGCGAGTAATTGGAGTCGTTCAACTCGGTGACCTTAATACTCTTCAACTGCGCCATTGTAGTATCCACACAACAATGATAAAACAAACTCAACACTGCTTAGAGACAAGCAGGTCTCATAATCTGATAGAATTAACCGTGGTTTTGGTAGTTTGCTTTAATGAAGAGTAATTCCCTGTGTTGTTAACATTGTAATTGTAGCTTCTTATATACTCAGTAAAACAGTCATATTGACTAAACTTCTGAGTAACAACTTCGCCTTTAAGGCCGGTGTATGACAAAGGGGCTGGGTGCCAACATGAGTAACAGACATTAGTAACGGTTACACTCATAAATTCTAACAAATATATTACGGGCAAACAAAATGTAATTTCAGAAGGCATAAACTCTAACAAACTGCTTACATTTGAAGAGGCAAAGTTGAGACATATTTATTTTCGGGCATACATAGTTTATTACTGCTTTGACTAGGCAAAAGTTAGATGATGCAAATAAATTTCGTTGTTTTGAGCAGTCTATACTGCTTTACCTTGATCGTAACAAAATATAATAAATGAGTTTAGGGCAGAGCTACTTAATGCACTCACGTACTGAGCCGGTTTACTAATCAAGAAAGGTCACCAGGTGAATGGGCCGTTGCGGAAGAAAAAAAAACAGGCGATGTTTTTATAAGTAATCCGGGTGTCCTCATTAGGCATCGTGAAGGATAATATTCGAATGGAATTGGAAAGAAAATTAAGGCAGAATGATGATAATAAAAGTGGGATAATTGATTTGGGCCAGCTCCCGTTAGTTTAAAAAAAATTCATAAAATCAAATAAGACCGGAACCACGATCTGCTACCAGTGTGGGAGCTGGCCCATAAAGGCCTACTCTATATCACTTATACCATACAATGGGAAACCTACTCGACTGCACCACCCCACTCTGCAAGCAGAAGTGGGCCTTTATATAGCTCTCTAAACGCACAACATACAAGCAAGGCCAACGTGTTGCACAACACGTTGGCCGAAGAACGAACATTACACAATTACAGATACAGAACGAAGAACGTACGCATCAACGAACGTACGCATTGTGTGGCGAAGCCCACATACACATAACCCATAAGTGTGATCGGCAAAAATGTCCCCTTAAAACTTACTTCCCATCCCCTCTGTTACCATCACTGAAATTGTGGATCATAATGGTCATAATAAAGAAATCAAGGACCGGCATGGATTTCCGGTCAGTTTATGGCAAAGTAACCTGGCTCCGGGCACTCAAACGCCCTCCCTGGTCCGTGCGCCCTTTATGTCGTACATCTTTTGCGGTCTTACATGCCACAGCAGCGGTAATTTTGCCGTTATCAACGGGGCTCCTCCCCCAAGCCCATCGCTGCCAGTGATAAAACCAGATAACTGCGATGACTGCATATGCGGTAAATGTGCACACTTCGAGCACCAACACATCCGCAGACGAATGAACTGTTTCCCGGCGCTGTACAATACCGGATGCTCACTACATGTACCGTTTGATTCACAGAGTGTCACAATTAATAACACGGATAAATCGTTCACGTGTGTGCGTTCATCCAGAATCAACACTTCTCGGCAACGATGTTGAGTTTGCGAATGAGAAGCAAACGTTCACCATCGTGGCAACATCATGTCCGTGCATATTGTTAAGTCCCGGCAGTAATATGTCCACTCTGACCAAATTTCAGGATTTTTTTTGGTTTGATAACGATGGTGGCAGTTTGAAAGGTCACATTTTGACCGCAAAATCAGCTTCCCCGCGCAGGTTCCTTGTATCACCATTCTGGTAAAAGGGCTACCATTTCGTCGAGGGTGGCAGCCTGGCGGGAGGTGGGACGAACACAGCGGAAATGTCCACGGGGACACGTTTGGCGTGGATTGCCGTGGGGTAGATTATAGCGGTTCGCACTTGTGACGCTTTCTTGTACAGGTTGTACTTAGTGTAAAAATGGGTTCCTATAGCCGACAATCAAGCGGCAATGGTTTATACTTTATGGTGAGCAGGTATCATGGATACCTGGATCTGGTCTTCGGCGGGATACGATCGATGCACTTAAAGATGGCGTGCGAACCCTTTCATACTTGATACAGCTTAGCTGATACAATTGCAATGCATAAAACGAATAACTACAATTTATAGGGTAAAGGGATAATTAACGAGTGATCCACGGGAACTCCTCGGTTTTTTGAATATTTACGGAAGGTGCCGACTACCGTTATACAGCTGTACCTTCATTGAACACTATTATCTTCAAGCAATAAAAAGTGCTGGAATATTACGATAGTGCTCGAACTATCGTAATAATCAGCCTTTCTCAAAATTAAAAAAAATACAAAAAGTTTCCGGGGCTTCCTCTTAAAGTGTTGACTATGTAAGAGGGTACCCAAAGCAGCCGCCCCACCGCCACCTACCTGGTTGGCTCAAGCTCAAGCACAAGTATCTTGATCTTCGCCAACAGCGGCGATGGCACAGTGGCTGTGCTACGTGGATCATACTCGGTAGCCGGCGGTTCCATTCCGCTCCATTCTTCGGAATTTCCTCAACAGACAGGACTTCATCTGATCGCCCTCCCTCGCTGAGATCACCACGGAGTGCCGTACTTAGGGCAGACTCTGTGACAACTACTAATCCTAATCTAAAAACTGACCTGAATTTCTCCTTCTTTCCAAAACGCCTTACCTGTGCCTACCTTACCTGTGCTTCGAACCATAATTTAGGACAGCTGGAGGCCGTCTCCAGCTTCCGAATGAGGGCGTGCTGTTGGTCCGTCAATCGGGCGGCGGACGGGCCTTGGAAACGATGGCCGGTTTGCAGGGGGGCCTTGGAGAGCGGCGGATCGTAATGCATCTGCGACTCGACGTCATAAGGATGGGTCATCCCTATGATATTGAGTCACTGATGCATGCGGATGGTCAAAGGTGACCATTTAAGGGTGCTCCTTCTCATCTCTATTTCGGATACCATGTTACTGGCCACGATGTTGACATGCTCGTTCCCATCTGCCATCTGCCATCTGGGCGACTGTGTTCGTGGAGGAATCCCAGCGTGTACAGGCATAAAATTAATGCTGAATGGTGCCGGGTGGCAAGCAGTGGGTATGCAGCGTGACTCTGGTTGGACGGCCGATGATACGCCCCATGTCCGCTTGGCATCTGTGGGGAGACTTCTTGCCAAAAAAGTGCTCGACAGGGCTCAAAGGCGGCAGGGGATAAAATGTGGCAGTGGCAACTGCCACTGCCGGTGGCAGTTGCCACTACGTACGCGTTCTAGCAAGCGATAAAACGTGACAACTGCCGGAATCTCGAAATGAGATGGTTCTGGCATCCAACTGTAATCTCTATCTAAAATATATTCATGAAAAAATTAAGAAGAACATTTTAAATTCTCCGGGCAGTTGTAGTTGATGGTACTGGTCCTGGCAGTGGCTGTGGCAATACTGGTAATGGTTTATAGTGATACCGGCGGTGCTAATGGGACTGATAGTGGTCGCCTCGGCGGTGGTATTGTACTTATTGAATTTTCTGAGGTTTCCTAGTTTTGTTTAGCTTCTCAGCTTTCCTAGTTTTCTTAGTTTTCTTACCTCTTAGCTTTCTCAGTTTTTTTTGTTTTATTTGTTTAGCTTTCTTAGTTGTTTTAGTTTCCTTAGGTTTCTTAGGATTTCTTTTGCTGTTTTCTTAGGTCATTCCTCAGATTTTCTTGTGAAATTAACCCAAAATTTAGAAAAACCTAGAAAAAACCGCCGAAATAATCTAAGAAAAACTAACCGTTTCTTAATTGAATGCGATGCAGCCGTTGCTGTGCCATTCCATAATGCGGAGGGCGCTTGCAATTGTCGTTGTTTGCTCATCGTCTGACTCTGAACGGGAGTTACAGACAAAAATACGGAAACATTATGTGACAAAGTTGGTCGGTCCGGTAGTAATTAACAGGTAAGTGAATTAATTAACAGGTAAGTGAACACACTTACTGAATCCTGACAGTTCATAGGGAATTTGTCCGTTGCTGGGCCAGTATCCTTCAGGTGCCAGGTAACCCGTTGACGACAGAGAATTAGGCACTTCTCTGCCGTCCTCCTCCTCCCAGATTATATCGTTTACTAAACGATATAATCTGGCAGGAAGAGGACGTTTAGGAATATGAGTACCCCATCCACATATTTCGTCTCTACATGTCGAATAATATTTTTACGCTGTGTCAACCGACAACCGTCTCAAGGTGGACCGGAAAGGAAATACCATTTTTTACCATGGATTGCGGGGACATGGTTCCATTTTTCAGGTTTCTTACCAGAAAAATGAAATCATGTCCCCGTAATCCACAATAACATGGAAAGTAATCCCGACAGTGTACCATACGTTTTTTTTCCAGATAATTGGGCAGTCAGATATCGGACCCAGAGTAAGCACGCGACGAAAACGCTTACGATTAGTATGGTGCACGTAGACGGCCGAACTGTAGAACATGTGCTACACTCTCTCAACGATTTTCTAGATATGAAAACGGAGAGCCGGTGTGCCGTCGCGATATATATAGCAACGGGCCAACGGCAGTGCGGTATCAACGCTGTTTGCATCGGATAGGCACAGAGCGGTAATCGAGCACAGCAAACCACGCTGTTCACTGGGCATTTCCGTCCCTGCATGTGCACAGACTTGCTGATTCTAACGACTTTCTTGGTGCGTACCAGCATGTTGAGTTCCTACGTATCTTCGGATCAGTGATCGATATCGTATAGTTAGTTGGCCGAACCAGTTTTTTTGTGTGGTCTTTGTGGTTATAACAAGCTGATCGTAAGATGTTATACCGCTTTTAATGCAATGAGATTTAGCCTTTAATAGCAGCTCGGCGCAACCAATATGACATCTAAACAGCAGTCGTATGGTGGATTTCGGATTGTGGATTTCTTTTTCTAATCTTTGGATTTCCCGGGAAGAACGCATGCTTCTACCATTCACCACCGTTGAGTTCGTTGCGACGGCTCTCGGTAAACAGGGTACGTCGTTGCCTGTCTACGTGTTCTCACTCGGGTTTGTGGGTTCCTTTTCTGGCTTTGGTAGCTGTTTTTAGGCTGCCTGACATCATGGAATACAAGTGCGATCTCTGTTCCAAAGTCTGCAAATCATCGCACGGTTTATCTGCGCAGCGAGACTCGGAAGTGTGCAAGAAAGCTCAACGCAAAGCTCTCCGTCTCGCGCCTTCGACAGCTCCACAGCGTGCAGCCCCACAGCCTGCAGCTGGCTCCTCACGCTCTGGTGCTCCAGCTACAGTGCCCATTCCCACAGCCACAGGAAACAATTCTGCCGGAGCAGCCCCTACCCCGCCTCAAATTCCAAAGGCCTTCCACCCATCGAAGGAACGAATTCTTCGCCGCATTCCACATGGAGCCAGGCCTGCGGCAAGACAGTTTCCGCAAAAAGCGCTGCTGGAAGTTGCGACTAAGAACGATAGTAAGTCCTGGCTGAAACTGCTCGCTTTCGCCTCAACAGCACTCCGCCTGCCTGCCAAGACGAAAACGGAGCGCACCAGTTCTTTGGCATCTGCAGTGAAGAAGAACCTGGATTTGTACGATCGCGATGTCCAGTTCCTTCCTTCGCAGCCCCCCAGTGCCAAGAAGAAAAGGAGTACCGACGAAGACCTCGCCCGTCGCGTAGGCCAGAAAATCGATGACGGATCTGTCTCCGGTGCGATGCGTGTCGTGATATCCACGGACTCCATCGCGGAGATTACTCAGGAGACTCTGAAGGAGCTCAGGGCAAAGCACCCCGAATGCCCCCCTCCGCTCGTGACGCCTCCTCCTGCCGACACGCCTTCAGCGCCACCTGTGAACCCTGCGGATGTTTTTGCAGCTATCCACAGCTTCCCACGAGGATCTGCGGCAGGTCCCGATGGTTTGCGGCCACAGCACTTACTTGACATTGTTGGTGGAAAAATTGACGACCACAGCGGGCAATTTTGTGAATCTCTTGCGTCCGTCCTTAACCTCGTTCTACAGGGAAACGTGCCTACCGACATTCATCCTACATTTTTCGGAGGAAAGCTGCTGGCCCTTCGAAAAAAAGACGGTGGTCTGCGCCCGATTGCGGTAGTATTAACCTTACGCCGTGTGATAGCCAAGATCGTTTGCACTAAAGTTGCGGAGCGAGCAACCGCCATCCTTTCGCCGGTGCAGCTTGGTTTTAATGTGCGTGGTGGAGCTGAGGCCATAGTCCACGCCCCACGGTACTAGATGTTTTCTCGACACGTCACCGGAAAGCATAAAAGCCGTTATCAAAGTGGATTTTCGGAATGCATTTAACACAGTTTCCCGCGAAGTAGTCCTAAATGTCGTGAAATTGCATTTTCCGGAATCTTTTCCATTTTTTCAGTCAGTTTACGGTCACCATTCGTCATTGTTTCTTGACGAATACATTTTGTCGTCAGAATCAGGAGTTCAGCAGGGGCATCCACTAGGACCATTGCCCTGCAAGTGCATTGCCGTTTTGCATTGCCCTGCAAGCTGTAATTGCTTCTCTCAGCATCGAACTCAATGCTTGGTATCTCGACGATGGGACCTTGGGCGGGCTTCCTTTGAACGTATTGGAAAATTTTACAAAAGTTGTCGAAGGCGCCAGGGCTATTGGTCTGGAAATAAACGTCGCAAAATGTGAACTGTATGTTACAGGAGGATCTGAAAGCATTCAGCAAGAAGCAGTGGACAGCTTTATCACTCGATATCCGCAGCTGCGTGTTATGTCCAGTGCCAACCTGACACTCCTCGGAGCACCGGTGTTAGACGATGCAATCGCTTCGATGTTTACCGAAAAAGCTGCGACACTTGTTTCGGTTTGTGAGCGAATGCAGCTTCTTCCACGACACCAGGCTTTGTACCTCTTGAAACATTGTCTCGGCGCCCCAAAAATCATTTATATGTTGAGATGTTGCAACGCGTGGAGGTATCCGCAGCAGCTGTACCAGATTGATGAAACTCTACGCTCCTGTTTCCAGCAGTTGTGCAATGTCCGAACTAACCATGACGATTACCCTAGTTGGCGAGAAGCCAGTCTCCCGGTTAGCAGAAGGGGTATCGGAATACGTCGATCGGAGGAATTAGCGCTTCCAGCCTTTCTGGCTTCGATTCACTCCGTATCCGACTTGGTATCCCTTCTGTTACCCGCACGGCCGGCTGTGAATACCACGGAGGCTTTAAACCTGTGGAAGATAAACGCTCGCCAAGCAGCACTGCCCGAATCTAACGTCCGTAAATTGCAAAAAACCTGGGATTTGCCGCTGTGCAACGTATCTCTGTCCACCTTGCTGGAAGTGTATCGCGACGATGAGATTAACAAAGCGCGTTTACTTGCCCAGTCGTGGCCGGAAGCAGGCATTTGGCTGAATGCATTGCCCTCCGCTCATGTAGGGAATTTGCTCGACGACGACACGCTGAAAATTTCGGTTGGCCTCCGACTTGGCGCGGTTATCTGTGAACCACATGAGTGTATGAAGTGTCACAAGCCAGTAGACCGATATGCACACCACGGCCTATCCTGCGCTTTCTCAGCCGGCAGGCACCCACGGCACGGCGGGCTCATTAGCATTGTATGCCGTGCCCTTGTTTCCGCCGGCTTCCCCGCTAAACTGGAACCACGCGGCACCTCACATACGAGCGAACGACGCCCAGACGGCTGCACAACGTTTGCATGGCAGAGGGGTATGTGCTTGGCATGGGATGTCACTTGTGTCGATACGGTTGCTGCTTCCCATATAAGGTCTATATCGTCGACTCCCGGATCGGCGGCGGTACAGGCAGAAGAAAGGAAAGCCAGTTTGTACTCGTACCTGAGTGGGCGCTACATTTTCGCAGCCATTGCCTTTGAAACAATGGGCCCATGGGGACCTTCAGCTACCGCTATTATCAAGGAAATCGGGAAGCGTTTACGTAATCAAACTGGAGAGGCTCGTTCTATGAATTTCTCCGACAGCGACTGTCCCTGGAGATTCAGCGGGGAAATGCGGCTTCAGTTTTCGGAACAATGGACGGAGTTGAAAAGTTTACTGAGCTCTTTCTGTTGTGATAATAAATTCTTCTTTCACCGTTTGGTTAACTTATTAATGTTTTTTGATTTGTATGCTGCAGTCGTATACAATTATACAAATAATCGATACGTATAAAGTATAGGAATAGATTTTCCCTTCTGGTACATACTAATGATCAGTATTAATCATGCTACTCGAGTCGGTTGCGAAGTAGCAGTAAGTGACCGATCGAGGCGATCCGCAACACGCACTAGTAGAATTATTATGTACGTACTGGGTGCGTCTAATACATACTCCCGTTATTTTCTTCAGCAAATTTATGGTGGCTAATCAGCGCACAGTAACAAGCTCCCGGGAAAGGTTTCTCCATGGTCTGTCTGAAAATAACATAATTACCAGCGACTGGCAGATTCATCCGCAACCGGCTGCCAAAACAAACCTAATCATTACAGTGTAATTTTATTATTAAAGCCATAGAGTAATTGTACCAAAAAAGTGGAATAGAAAATTATTCACGAATGCAGCGACTGCTAAATACATCAGCAAACGCACGGGGAAATGTTCCTTCTTTAATTGTATCAAAACAATCCTTCAGTATCTGTAGTTAAGTACCAGCAACCGGTAAATATAGTATAGTAATAGTCTTGAACGAAGCAACCAAGCGAGCGCTGAGTTCGGCAAAAGTACCTTCGTCGCTCGAGCCGGTGGGCCTAGACAGAGGCGATGGAAAGCGGCCCGACGGAGTGACAGGTTTCCCATGGAAGAATGGAAAGCCGCTAGTGTGGGATGTTACCGTGGCAGACACATTTGCCCAAACGTACATCGCCAAGACGTCCAGGGTGCCGGGAAGTGCAGCGGAGATCCGGGAAAACCGGAAGTTAGGAAAGTATATCGGGCTAGCAGACCGCTACATTGTTCAACCGCTAGCGTTCGAAACTACGGGAACATTTGGGCCGCTGACGAAGAAGTTCTTTAAAGATTTGTCGCGAAAGATTTGTGACTGTACAGGCAACCCTCGCTCAGGGGAGTTTTTGCGTCAGAGAATTGGTATCGAGATTCAGAGAGGAAATGCAGTATCAGTTCTCGGTACTTTTAGTGACGTGGTTGAGAAGGAAGATGTGTATTTTGCCTTTAAATTAGCTGAACGGCAATGATGTCAATGATTGTTTTTCTTGTTACTTTTGTAATACGCGATGTCAGTAATAAATATTGTTTTCACGTATAGTAATATAGTAACAAATGAGTAGACTGCAGTTGCTTATTAAAATCTAAGTGAACCAGACGAGCATTCATGTACGAGTACAGAGTACATCGTTTCGAATCCCAGGAAATTTATTAGACAACACAGAAGCTGTGCATAGAAAAATAAGGTGGGTAAGGATCGTGTTAAAATAGCCAGCAAATTCATTGGAAAGACATGTCAAAAATAAAATAAATATACCTTTTAACTAATAAATGTAAAAATGCACAGTACAATAATTTATAAAATATCAGTAAAATAAGTAGATTTCTTAGCTGACGAAACGAAACATCCGGCTGACCCGTCGCCATACCCCGTCAACAAACACCAGCGCGAACAGCACCGGATCGATAATCGCTTCCGCCGTGAACAACAGCGTCGTCACGCGGAAGTACGCGCTGCTCTTGAAATCGACGAAGCATGCCACGAACGTCGGCAGCAGCAGCGGCGTCCAGCAGATAAACATACTGACCATCAACATCACGAACACCGTCATGCTCCGCGTCCGCCGCTTCCCACTTCCGCCGGAAGTCCCCGCCGCCGGCGCCAGCGACTCCCCGTCCGAATCCGTGTCCGCGCGACTCACCGCTTTACTAACGGTCTTCCCGGTCACCGTCGGCGCCACCCGCTGGGCGGTCAACTTCCGTTTACGCCAGATCAACGGAAAGGTCACCAACACGAACATCTCCGGGAGGACATACACCACCAACTGCATCGTCGTGATGAGGAAACGTTGCGCGTCGATGTTCAACAGACACCGGTTGTACAGTTCCATCGGCCAGCGGAAGTACAGGGAATCGCGGATCAACTGCGGTAATAACATGATCGCTAAGTACAGCCACATCCCGGCGCACGCCGCCACCGCCACGGGGGTTGTGTGGCGGGTACGGTAAGCGTGCGGGTAGGTAACCGCCCACAGGCGGTTACATGAAATCAGGACGTGGGTGTGGATCATCCCGGCCATGGAGAAATACGAGGTCATCATGTAAAAATCACACGCGGCGTGGCTATAGTGAAACACCGGAGAAACATATAGTAGCGCGTTGGCTAAACTAGTACCCGCGGTTTTGACCAGGTTGCTTAACAATAAATTAATTAAATACACAGTGAACGGGGTGTGCGTGGATTTGCGGAAAATAAGGTGGAGGATCATCCCGCCGTTGAGGAGCGTGCCGAGCAGGGCGATGGCCAGATTAAGCAGTTCCAGCGGACCCCAGCCTAAGGTCACCCGCGGTGTAACGCCCGTGGAGTTGTTCATCGCGTCCGGATTAACGTCGAACTAACGGAGGACGTTGTCTCTTTAATTCGCGTATAGGAAAATATATAGGACGATTTATAGGAGCGATTGCCTACCGGCAATGACAGCGGATACCCGGCTGCCGATTATTTCAGCACTTGCGCGTCAACACCCGCTACCGGCGTCATTCAAGTGTCGGTTTGCCTGTTTCCTTAATTGTCTCGCTACACGCATGTGTCCCGGTATTTCGATGACCGGTTAATTGCGTAATGCGTGTGTGTATTGGCTGATACGGAAATCGGGGCGCAGTGCGTGACGCGGCGACTATGTTTAACAATACCCGAGCTGCGCTATATATGCACGTGACCTTTATTCAAATCGATGCGGTATTGAATTACACCCGAATAATAAATTTATTTATCAAAAAAAGAAGGTATTGACAGCGGCATTCTCATTGAAAACAGATGACTACGCAAATCGGAGAACACAGAACAACCAGTTAGTATGATCATCGGCCGGTGAAGGGCTGGTTGATCATTGGCGCGCCGAAGGTGTTGCCGGCAATAGGGAAGCCGCCCTGGACGGCGGGCTGCATGAAGCCGCCGGTGGTCTGCGGAATTGTGGGCTGGAAGCCGCCGCCCACGGGGGTCTGGCCGTTGAACAGCGGGGCGTTGACGCCGGGGACCTGCAGACCCAGCTGGCGGAGGGCCGGGGCGAGGTTGTTCTGCTGCTGTTGCTGCTGCTCGAGGAGTTGTTGCTGGCGAATGGCCTCCAGACTGCGCTGCTGCTGTTGTTGGAGCTGCGTGCCGATGAGCGGCGGGATCAGGCTCTGGCCGGCTTCCTCCGGGGACATGGTCTTCGGACTCAGCAGCGCGTTCAACGCTGCAATTAATTCAGTTTTTTATAACGTTATAAGGAATTTTTATTGATTTAACCGGCGTTTATAAAATGATTTTTCTCCTTTTCATTGGTTATTTTTGGGAAAGTCTGTATTCGTTTTTTTCACCGAATTCCACTACATTAAATACGTGAATTTTAAAATTAAATCAAAAATTAACATCTTAGGTTATGAATATTCTAGATTTTTTTTCTACCCAATTATTCTTAAGTTGCTTACATATAAAAAAATTTAATGCACTTTCTATTGAATAATTAAAATGCGTGCTCTTTATTTTTTAGAGATATTAAACTGAAGATTTATTCCATAAATGTAATATATTATTTCAAGATTTTTATTTGCGCAGTGTTGATAATCGATTTAAAAATCCACAACAAATCTTCAGTTATTCTGATATTTTTGAAGAAATAAAATTTTGCCGTTGCCTGAACGCTTCCTTATTATACAGTATTAGGCCACGATTATATGCAGCTTTTTGCCGGCTTCATAAATATAATTGCCAAATATTTTCGTTGCATGAAAACCTGTACAGGATACGCGACCAAAATTAGCATTACGTCTGCAGCCGCGTAATGACCGCGATATCCGTTAATTGCCTTGGGTTAGAAGGCCGCAGACTGGCGTTTATTAACAGGATACATGGACATGAGCCGTATTGTGTAATTTACCCTAATTGTAAGAACTGGCGTGCTTATGTCTGAATAGGCTGACTTACTTCCGGAAGTGAGGAGCGTCATAGGGTCAATGGTGTGCTGTCGCTGACCGACCGGCATCACCGCCGCCACCGGGGCGCTGCCCGCCATCATCTAAATAAGAACATCTTGCTACTAAGCGTCCATATTGAAATTTCCAAGAACTTTATAAGGGAACCGAAAAGTACACAGCTTTTTTAAATTTCACATTACATTTAAATTTTTTCATCGATTTTCCTGCAAGTGTTTGCCTTATACATAAAAATATATTATGCAAAAAAATTAAAAAAATATATTTGCTGCATAAATAACCAACAAAAAGGAAAATAATTACCATTAAAATAGGCAAAAAAATATAGCAGACGTTTTTTATACAAATATTATCTAAGATATAAAATACAGAAATTAATCCAAAACATGATAGTGCATATTGTGTAATATAAAATTAGTATTATTATATAAGAAATAAAATTTGAAATAAATACAGTAGCGGAAATATTTGCGTACCTGCTGTTGCGGCGGATACATGTTGTAGGTGCCGGGATAACCGGGGTATCCGGTGCTGGCGGCGGCCACGGGCAGCACGGAGCCGGCGTTCCCGGCAAAGGGCTGCGTGAAATCCAGTTGGCGGCGCTGCAGCTGCTCCTTCCGCACTTCATCACGGATCCGCTGCTGTTGCGCCGGTGACAGCGGACTCGTCGTGCTGTTGTCCGAAAACGACTGGCTGGCAACGCACTGCACCATGAACAACACCGCAAAGGTCACCGCTAATAATCGCTGCATGATCGTGTAGAACAATATGATCGATGCGGGAAAGAGGAGAAATAACCGACCAGCGGTTCTAGATTGCCGGTAAAAATATAAATAAAATTGCCTGCGATGAAAGATTGTGTGCCGGAGAAATGAAGCAGCGGATCGCGGCGGTGTGAGGGTTTTTATACTGGCCCACAGTCCGGTATCCCGGAACTATCTATTGGGTTGTGTAATACGCGGATATATGTGGGTACTGTATGATCTGACCTTTGTTTCAGACGCCTGTATCGAGGTCACACACAGCCTTGAACAATTTTGTCTGTGCTGAGCGGTTTCAATCGTAAAACCGTAATAAATATGCGATTTTATTATGTAATTATTTTCCTATGTATACGCTACTAGTACGACATTCAGCACTCATTACTATTAATAATAAAAAAATAAAAACATAAATAATCGAAAATTAACTATACAGTAATTTCGTTAATTAAAGCATTAACAATTTATGTAATAACGTCAGATGCAGTTTTGTCGCTCGTGATTAATGTTAACGAAGCATCGCCAGCGATTATTGCAGTAAATATATTTTTAATTATTTCTCTGGACTAGATCTGTGGATGCAGCTGCGTACAGCTGCGTTGGCAAGCCAAATAACGAAGAAACAGAGCGTCACCATCAAATTGTGTACAGAAAGCCCAAACGTACAATGCCGTCAGAAGCAAAGCAAACTGGTTACAGGGTTGTCAGTTTTTTATTAAAAATCTTGCGGCTTAGCGGTGGAGTGCTGCTGGATCCAGGGAATATAGTTGGCCACGTCGGTGTACACACCCGGCTTCTTCGGCAGTCCGCATCTGCCGAATCCATACACCCCATAATGTATTTAATTGATAGCAATATTCCTTGCATAATAAACAATTTAACTCCATATAAGCCGTTTTGATTTAACTTTTTTAATTTTTAGTTACATTTTTATTTTGTGACTTTTATGTAATTATATGTATTTTTAGCTTTAAAAATTTTAAATAAATTTGCAAAAATCTAAGCTATTTAATTAAATATTTCATTCATTTTGATTGATTAATTGTACGTTTTTACCCGATATAGCGGACAATTATTCATAATATTAAATGATAGTATATTTGTATAAAAAGGTCACGTGCAGGTGTACGTACCCTTCTCCCCAGCTGACCACCCCAATCAGCTCAAACCGTCCGTTGCGTTTCTGCACCAACGGCCCACCACTGTCGCCCTGTACAGTATAAAATTCCAATATGAATTGCGCGATAAGCCGGCTTATCAGTTGTTGATCCAGGCGTGTTTACAGTGCGTAGTACGGACGAGAATAATAATCTCTACGCGGGAACACTGACCTTGCAGGCATCCATCTCGCCCTGCGGATAGCCGGCGCAGATCATGTTGTCGGTTATCTGGTAGCTGTAGTAGTCGGCGCCCTGACACACAGCCCGGCTGATGATCGGCACGTTCACCTGCATAAAAACGCACGTTCCTTATTTGCACCGGAAGTGCGCGATAAGAAGCTGCCGATGTGTGCGATTTCTTAAAAATGTAGGGTAGTGTGTACAAGTTACAATGCTATTTCTTATGATATTCTTTGGGAGTATTGTGGTAGAATGGTAGGTTATCAAATAGAACCGGGAATCGAAGTAATGTATAGCTTGCCTGCAGTAGTGTCGTGGCGGCGATGCGCACCTCGATGCGGCTGTTGTTGTTCCATCCGCCGAACACGATCGGCAGCACCAGCACGTCACTGCTCACATTCCCCACCAACCGCGACGTATTGGCCTCTGCAGACAGATATTACTTTCACACACACAGGAGCCACCTTCAGTGACCTTTAGCTACGCTACACAATTTCCGGTATGGCTTAGCGGCATTTTTTGATAATTAGAAATTTAATAAATAATCAAACATACAGTACAGATATCAGAAAAAGCAGACAGCGCTTTTAAGCGCAAGAAAATGTGTATACACTATGCAGTACATGTTCGATGAAGCGCTGAACGACTGATGGATGACCTTTAAGATCACTGCATAACTCGCAAAAAGGTACAGCAGTATTTACTGCAAATTAAGAAAAAATAAAACATACATATATGATACACTACATGTACAAATTAAGTAAGAGAGGAAACGCAGATGCATACAGTGCAGATAGGCGTGTGACCTTTCAGTTTTTTCACGTAGCGTTCGGTACTATTTAGCGGCTGTTTTCTGATGGAATAAAGTAAAGTAATACATACAGAAAAAGCTCATTTACAATTTTACGGAGATATAAATTATATATTGTACACAGAGTATAATCAGTACATGCAGAATGTGTAGCGCTACTCACACACTACCGGTGACCAGTAGCTTAATATTATGTATAATTTCCGGTCTTATTTACGTACAGATATGTATAGTACAGCACGGATTAATCGTAACTATGAATTGTGAAAAACGTATTTAGGAAATAAAAATATGTATTATTTAGAATGAATTTGCTTGACACGTACGTCCGGCGGCACTGCGGAGCGACGCCGGCTGCGGCGCCGTCTCGCCCCAGCCGACGACGGTGGCCTGCGTGTTGTCCAGCGGCTCGCGGTTGGCCGGCGGGATGCACAGTGTGTTGATTTCGTTGCGCAGCGCCACGTCCTACAGTAATAACTATAATTACAAATAATAGAAATAATCCAGACTAACGAGTACAGTTATTAATTTACAGAAGAAAAAAAACATAGCTCATTAAAAATTAGAAATAAAATAAAATAGAACTGAATGAAATGAATAAAAAATTACGTTAGAATTTATAAATCATGTATATATGCGCCAGAACCTTGGCCAGCTTGACGATGGCGATGTCGTTGTCGTTGTCCCAGCGCTGGTAGGCCGGATGCATGATGACCTCGATGACTGCGATATCCTCTTCGAAGGTCTCCGTTAACTGCCGGCTGTGTTCTCCCACGCGGATCAGGTAGGCGCGCGGATCCAGTTGCCTATTTATATATATGCGACATTATTTACCAGCTACCTATTTATAGATAAACGGCTGGTATATTCGCGTATAACAGAGACGCCATGTAACAGAGACAAAAAGGCATATATATATATACCCGTCGATGCAGTGGGCGGCGGTGATGACGGTGGTGGGGTCGACGAGCGCCCCGCCGCAGACGCCGTGGAACTGCTGGCCGTAGTTGCGCTTCAGATGCACCACCCACGGCCACGAGTGCGGACGGGCTTCCTTTCCGCCTGCAGAAGAACATTTACGTAATAATTTTCTCAAACTACCGGATACATCATTTTGGAACTGATTTTTTCCTCATTAACCAACAAATTTTCCTGTGTTATTTAATTAAAATGTTAGTTATTTTTTAACAATTTTTTCCAATATTAACTTTTTTCTGTATTATTTTTGTTCATATACTTTTTTTATTCTTATTTTCTGGATAAAAACTGCAGATCATCTTACTAAATTTCTGCTTATTTTTAAATTTTTTTCATACAGCATTTCAAATTTTTTCGATGAATATTGCGCGAGTTGTTATAATTTTATTTCCTTTTGATTTTATTCAATCTGCTGGAATTTGATTTTATTTTGATTTTTTGGGAGGAATATGTGCGAACTACATACGTATATGCGTACCGATAATGCGTGTGGCGATGGGAGCGATTGCCGCTTTTCCACAGCCTATCGGCGGGCAAAAAAGAACCGGTTAAATTCGCCGCAATAAATAATAACCGCCGCATATACATCTACATGTATCTGTATATTGCTCGTAACATATCGTATGTGTACCGCAGTAATCCTGCCGCGAGGGATCCATGGAGCAGAAGGCGGCCAGCGGGTTGAGGGGCGTGGCCACCTGCGGCGGCGGCTGCGTGGTCACCGGGCCGAGCGGGGTGTTTTGTTCGGCGTCGTAGGTCAGGATGAAGCCCCGCCCCGCGCGCAGGCCGGTGCAGTACTCCAGCACCAGCATGTCCGTCTTCACGCTCACCACGTTCGGCGCCGGCGCGCGGTTACAGAAACGCAGCTTCCCTGTTCGACCATTCCATTCAAAATTAGGCATTTCATTTGAAATATTGTATTTTATCTAATTTATTTATTTCAGTCTATTTTTATTGATTTATATTTTTAATTTTTTAGCCGTTTGTATTTTACCCTGGCCACGCCTGCAGTATTTATCTCTGTGCTATTCAATTTTTTATTATTAATATTTGTATACCATTACTGTAGTTAATTTTTATATTTTCCTTATTATCGGGAAAATAATGGTAGAATATTTTATTTATGTGCTATTCATTTTTTTGTCGATTATTTCTGTACCCATGTTGTTGGTGGGGCCTTTGTAGGAGCAGATGCGGCCGTTGGGCGAGACGGTGCGCGCGTCGTAGGCGATGAGGTAGCTCTGCTGGCAGGACGCCGACAGCAGATCCGGGATGTCCAGATCGTCCATTTTCAGCATTATCGACTAACAGCGCACACGCAAAAATCATCCAGTACGCAACTTGAAAAGTAGCGTAATTAAAGATGTGAAACAAACCAGCCAGAATCTTAAGTGCGGCCCTAGTTTTCTTGCTCGGCAGATATTCTACCAATAAATAAAATTTTATTTAATTTTGCTTTTCTTATTCTGTTTTTATAGGGATACTTTGTTTATTAAATAACATGCTGTTTAATTTTCTGCGTTAGCTCAAGCAATTCTCCTTCCTTCAAATATCAAATTAAAAATAGTGGAAAATGATTTATAAATAAATAGTGAAGTTATTAATCATAAGTAACTTTTAAATCTAAAAACAATTGAACAAAATAAAACAAATCTAAAAACAGGTTTACCGGTTGATTTCATAAAAAAATTTCTACCTCAGTTTTGACAATATATACAACTTGTAGGAATATATACAGAGTACGTAGAGTATGCGGCATTTTTTAGTGGAATGTTGTGCGCATAAGAACCTCGAACGCTTAATTTTTTTTCCAGCCACTGCACTACGCCGGCGTACCTTGGCGTTGGGCGCCTGAATGACCCAGCGGTAGCGCGCCTGCACGATCTTCTGCGGGTAGAACGGGGAAGTGAGGACGCCGCTCTTCTGCTGCAGATACTGCGTGGATTGCGTCCCACTTTGCGCTACAACACAACACATAATAAACGTCGCAACTGTACCGTGTATAACAGCATTTCCGGTAAAATAATACAGTAATATTAGAAGATAATAAAATGCAGAATTTTATAGAAATATGGAAATGTAGCAATAAAGATTATACAGATATATAAGACAATGTACGATATGGTACCAATATTACAAATAAAACGCATGATTGTCAGATAATAATTCAGAAAATAAAATAATACAGAATACACTAAAACAATAAAATAAAATAATAGAATAAAATAAAGAAAGACATATTAGAATAAAATAATATAAAATAATATAGAATACCTGTATACACAAGTATAAAATTATCTAGAATACTGTAAATAAAAATATAATATATTATGCAAATATATCGATAAATAATATATCTTACATAATGTATAATATTTACATACTAAGAAATAATATTCAATAATTACAGCGAGATGTGTTGAACGTACCGGCAACGGCGCTAATTCCCATAAGAATCTCCAGCAGTAAATAAACACCCGGCATTGTAGATACAGTATTATATCGCGTGATATATACGCGGGACAAGCAATCTCCCTAATTAAACCGGCAACACTGGGATCCCGTGGAAAAACATATATACACAATCAGCAATTTTTCGTTCTCCGGTGAATCGCGTTCACAGCGGACTGGCGATTGTTTATAGCGAATTTTCAGCTGAATTAACGCGGCGTGGAATGCGGGAGGAAGTGGTGCGGCGTTAATGGTTGGGCGATGTAAAGATAAGGAGTTTAAGTGTATACTTTATCGCGTCCATCTTGATAAGGGGCGTGAGTAAGCGCTTCCGGGTGGCGTTGCCCATTAAAATACGCTCATAATCATTCTCCAACGGAAACACTGCGTGTTTGCTGTTAATGTTCCGAGTACGGGACATTAACACGTTGAATAATATAATAAAAATTCCGCTACTCGGTGCGGAACGTTTTCCCGCCGATTAAATGGCGCGTGTAATAACCGTGACGTGTATAACGTTTTCATATTGAAATTCGCTGCGTAATATTGCCGAGAACGTCGGCCAGCAGCGCGCGGCTGCAGTGATTGAGATATTCCTTTAAATCGGCAAAGTCGTCCTTCGTCGGCAACTGGGACACGTCCTGCTTCGTGTCCCGGGTTTGGTAGATTAAAATGGCGTACGTGATCACGGTCTGCGCCAACTACAATTAATTGCGCGTTAATTGCATATTGCGAATTTAAAAATTAAATCGGGATTAAATAAATATTTTTAAATAAAATAAAATATTTTTATTTGTTAAAATATTTTTTTAAATAAAAAAAAATATTTTAATTAAAATATTTGAATTTATTATATGCGGATCCTTGTTATTATCTTTATATTATTCCTATTAATATTATGTTTATATTTTATTATGTAAATATTTGATTGGTGATTGTAAACGCTGACCGTCCCCACGGATTCCTTGGTGAGGTAGAGGAATCCGCCGGAAGTGATGGCGCCGTCGGTCAGCTCGCACTCGCCGATGAAGGCGCCGCATTCCGCCTGCAGCGCCGCGTTGCCGGCATTCATTACCAGCAGTTTCTTCAGGTTGTCCCGCACCATTTGCGCCTGTTAGCATCACGATACTTTTAATAAAGCCATCCACAATCGCAACAAAAAACCAATAATTATGTACTGGCTGTGAAATACCAGGTGTTTGTGCGTAATATTAATACCAAACAAAACACATAAAATAATCGCTGCATATTTTTGCAAAATAAAAAAATATTATAGTAATTACATATACAGTAAATAAATTATTAAATATAAGAGCTGTACGGTAAATAATACACGAATAATTTAAAGTAATGGTATATGCTCGTAAAAGTCCACAATAATTACTTAAATAATTTCTTCGGCATCGCATATATACGTACGTCACAAATAATAAATATTTCTATACCGTGAAATATGGCGAAAATTCTTAACATTATCAACATTGTAATACAGGCGCTATTTTTATCAAAATTGACGTGCAGTTACATTCATCTTTACATAATAAATATTTACTGAACATGTTCCATAATTAAATACCGTACGCGCCTATGTATATTTAATATAGAAGCGTTTATAACAACTATACCTCGAGATGCGTGGAAACGGTGACATACAGCTTGAACAGGAGATTGACCAGTCCCAGCAAACCAAACCCATAGATCAGAATCTTCGTGGATTCGTCGATGAGCAGCGCGTCGGCCTCCTGGCGGTTGCGGGCCGGGCGTCCGTCGCCGACCTGCAGCGACACACTCAACACCGCCAACACTCCCACGAACTCCCGCACCGACCCCAACAGCACCATGCCCCGCACCAGCCCGTCCAGCTCCCGCACGTGGCTCTGCAGCGCCCGGTAGCGCTCCTTCAGCCCCGACACCGCCGCCGTCGCCTCCGACCTCGTGACCTTTACCTCGGCATCTTTCCCGGCGATCATTAGGTCCGTGACCTTTAGCAAGGAGTCCGCTCCGCTGACATTTTGCTGGGTATTCACCTCCGTGACCTTTTCCGGGGTCTCCAATCCGTTGACCTTTAGGCGGGGATCGACGGGGTCCATTCCCGTGATCTTTAACTGTTGGTTGACACTCCGGAAGCCCAGTTGAACCTCGTACATCAGGCTCAAGATGTAGCAACTCGGAAAGGTCTCGGCGCTCAGCACAAAGAACAGCCACACCCCGATCAGCGCCGGGAAGAAGAAATGCGGGAGCGGCGGGGGCGCCACGCGCAGATACTGCAGCAGCGCCGCCACCACGGTACGGTTGAACATCCCCGCGATCGGAGCAAACGCGCGGACGAAGGACGCCAGACACGCCGCCGTAAAGGTCACCGCCCACGCCACCACCAGGACGTGGAAGCCACGCCTCCGGGGGACCGGCGCCAGGGTGCGCTGGAGGCGGGTGGCCATCCGCGGCATCCGGCGACAGTTGCGGATGAAGAGGAGCCCCATGAGGGGGCCCTGGAGGTAGACGAGCATCTTGAAGGCGAAGGAGACGATGACGAAGAACTCCAGGTGCGCCAGCTGCTCCTTGTAGACGAGGTAGAGCCCGATGGACCACGGAGGAGGTAGGCGGCCTGCCCGGCCTGGATGACGACGGACCACAGGGCGGCGGCGCAGTGGGGGCGGGGCGGGGTGAGGGCGGGGTCGCCGGGGGGCAGGGCGTAGGGGAAGAGGCCGCAGAGCTGGGCCAGGCGGTAGAAGAGCAGCGGGAGGAGGGGCGCCGAGCGACAGGGGACGGCGGGGGTGGACCATGACGACGGGGGTGGTTTGTCCTTTTTCGACATTCCGTTTATGGCTAATTAATTCGACACAAATTTTAAATTAGTTTGCAAATTAATTTTATACACTACCGCGGCAGACTTTATTGTTTAGGATTTCAATATTTTCTAATGGAGTGTTTCATGGAAGCGACGAATGCGATACAGGAAGACTTACAAAATGCGTACTTACTGTTTGCACCCGGCGTTTAAACAGCGGATCGCATGGTCAGGCGTTTATACGCCGCTGCAGTTCCCCTGCTGACGCGCTCTACCAACATCGGCCTTCCTTAACAAATTTGGTCAATATTTCGTTTTGCCGTTTGATAATCGATATATACGCGCATGCAGCGCATTATGTCTATATAAGCGGCTTTTAATACTACGTCATGAGGAACCTGCCGCTGCCCGCGGGCGGCTGCCGATGGGACAGCCACAAAACGGTGACCTTTCGGCTTATATAAGTTTGAATGCATTTATTCATGTGAACATCAGCGCGCACAAAATTATAGTTATCCATTAACAAAAGCCGTCCGTCAGTTTTCTCTTGCAGTAACTTAGAAAACGAGGATATTAGGCACGCGCAGCAATCAAAGACCTTTCAGTGACTTTTTAATTAGGTATTTCTGTCGTTGTTTTGATTTTGCAGTGTACTGTGATAAATCTTAAATTAACCCGATGTCACTCGTAAGTCAGCCATTGTTTCTATGTTTGTTCTGGTGATCGGTAATTTATACGAGTTTAATTCAAATTTCTAAATAATAATATTATAAGAATTAAATTCAGATTTTCGGATTAATTACGTTTGTTCAAAAAATGTTACAAACCTACTGTGAGGAGGAGTGGCCTCTCCGTTCACCCGCGCACAGGCGGCTGCTAGGTTGTTTAATTTGCTGTTTTTGTCCTGTTTTTCTCCTTCTACCAGATCTTCAATCTGGTAGATTCTTGAGTTGCTAGATTTCGTCGTCTGAGCTGTATGCTTTTTCCTTTTTGGCCCCGCAGCAAGGTGCTGCAGGTGGCCTTTGATGTGTTGTGTGAGAGAGAGATAAAGTGTGCAGTGTTGGCGTTCAGTTTCCGTTTCTGTTCGCCCACAGGGGTGAACTAGCCGTTCATCCCCTGTTAGACTACCTAACACGCTATTTTTTTGTCAACTTTATTTGTCGACTTCGGTAATTTTGTTGCAGTTTCGTCTTTCTGGCGATGATTTCCGAAAGTTGGCAACTTCACGTACACTGCTTGTAATAAAAGACGGGAACGCGGGAGTGTTTCACATCGCAGAAATGAAACGGAAAACTAGCTGCAGACAGCTAGGTGAACCTCGTTCTCATGTGTGATGAGTTTTTTGCGCCAACGAGTATCGCTGGAAATTCAAGGAGGCAACGCCGCTCGTGTACTCGGAACAGTGGATGGAGCGACCGAGCGAGAGCGTTAAATAGATTCTGTTGCTGTGATTAACTGTTTTAAATGTTTTTGATCTGTAATCAGAGTAATGTAAGTATCCCTTACCCGTATTCCATGAAATAAAAAAAATTACTAGTATTACTATTAAAGCCTGCACGTGGCGAGACACTGTGCCAGAGAGAACACGGCGTAAAGCCGATAACAAAAGACCGCGAAACACTGCACTGGACAGGCGGACGGCAGACGTACGTACGTCCTCCGCTCACTCTGCAACTCTGCACGGGAATTATTTTGATTCTGCGCGTTTCGTGTTTCGACACGTTCGGGTGTTTGACAATACTGTGTGAAAATTGTTATTGATGGTGTTAGTTTGAGTGTGATAATGTGATTATTTGTAGCTACAGTCGAAGGACTCTGTAGTCTGTACTCACTACTTCCTTTTTGATATCGTCTGGTGTGCTCCTGCTGAGCCATGGCGATGCCCAACGCAAGCCGTGCCGCTGATCATCCTGCTCCGGCGCATCAGCATCCGCACGACTGCGAGGCTGTTGACGAGTTTCTCCGCGGAATGCGGGAGCTGCAGGCGACGGGCACGTTGTGCGATGTCGTCCTCCAAGGCAGCGACGCGGATGATGTGGAAGGATCCGCGCTGGCCAACGGTATCCCGTGTCACCGCGCCGTCCTCACCGTGCACAGCGCCTACTTTCGGGCCGTCTTCACGCACAACTGGAAGGATTCCCGGGATCCCGTCTTCCCGCTGCACAATGTCGACACTGCTACGATCAACGCGTGAGTCCTACAGATATGCAGTAGCTGTGCATGGTGTTCCTGTAGTTGCATTGAAAGCAGTTGTGTCAACTTGAGTGGCTGTACGATTCCTACTTCAATGATTAATCATTGATCGGAAATCAGCGCGCGCGCCATTAACCTAATACGCTGTAATACTTAATTCCGTTAACTGCGTAATCATGTTATAACTAGGAAAGTGCACTCGCTTTTTGCGGGCACTGCATGACCGAAGCGTAGCAGGATGCACGACTGACGTATATTATAGGGAGCAAATTTTCAGTACGTTGCTAGCTAGCTGGCTGGCTACTGGCAGTAGTTCTGCGCACTAAAACTTCTCCTGGGGGCGAACGGGCACCGCCTGAAGGGGGACAGCCCCGTTAGCAAACTTTTATCCGCTTTTTTCGCGCATAACATAATAACACATCAAAAATCGTGTGGAGTCAAAGTTATAACAAGCGAATGGCTTGTGAACTTTGGTCATTAAGCGCATTTTTTTGTGTTTTTTCGCTCCCGAAACCAGATTCCGGCGCTTTGTTCATTTTCAAAAGGGCTGAACATTAGTAAATAATTAGATTCGTTCCAGCTAATTTATTCAATGTTCACTTTATAGAAGTGTTCAATCTACGCGGGGTCCCCCCTGTGTTATAGTCTACGAGACGCGCCGGTTCCGTTATGACCGTTCAATGTACACCAGTGTTCAATTTACGCGAGTGTTCAAAGTCACAGGTTTTACTGTACTATACAGTACACGCATGTAACCGGCAAAACTGTACAGATGGATGAAGCTCAAGTTATTAAAACACCTTCTCCGTAAATCCTGGTTGACCGCTTTTTACAGTTGTCAGTGTATTGTACTCGCTAGCGTACGGTTTTGTCAAAAAGCAATGTAAATTCCTTGGACCAGAAACTTGTACACGGCTCGCTAAAGTCACTGGTACAGACTAACACGGAAGCGATTTCTACCATGCTTTACGGACGTGGTGATATTTCGGCAATAATGTCCCATACTTCTATCGAAAAATCAGAGCATTTAAAATGTAACCCAGGAACAGTAATACATTTTTGAATTGTTGAATATTTTTAAAAATTAAAACGTAATAACGGAACTCTAACACTCGCGGCCGTTTCGAAGCGGTCACGGAATAGCCTGAAACCCATATTCCCAGGTGATACTTTCACTGACCAAAAAGTTCCCGTTTTCGTAACGGTGACAAGGCGGACAATGCACATTTTTCTCAGACACAGCCGTGCTTTTGAAAACTGTCGTTCACGCTCTCACACTTTTGTCTAGCATTGCTTTGTTAGGAATCTAACTGGTGGAAGTCCAGTTGGTTGTATCGCAAAATAAAATAATGTGGGCTGCAAAAGTTTTGGGGAATGTTTTTTCCGGACCGGCGGACAATTTTACCGGTTTATTTAGCTGTATCCGCCGCCCGATAGACTTGCACCATAAAGACTGGTATACAAAAAAAGATCAAGCGTAGCATGCACACTGTGCTCGGACAAATTCGAGCTTTCAGTCAGTGTGGACTGTCGATTCCGTCCACACTGACTGCGTAATCATGTTATAATAATTTAACGAATTTAATACATGAATAAACGTAACGTAGTACCCTGTACCTACGTGTAATAATTAATTTTTATAATAACAAATTCTGTAACTTATTACGAATAAATTGATTAAAGGCGGTTATCACAAAGTAATTATTTTTTCGATTATTTTTTTTATCATCCCGTGGTGTACGTGTAGGTTGGTGCGTTATGCGTACACGCTGACGATCCGTCTGAACGCGGACAACGTGGCGTCCATCCTGGTGGCGGCGCAGTTCCTGCAGATGGACCGCGTGGCCGGCCAGTGCTGGGCCTACCTGCAGCGGCACCTCAACGTGGCCAACTGTTTGGTCGTCCATTCCTTGGCGTCCAACCACCACCGCCCCGATCTGGCCGCCGCCGCCCTGGCCCTCATCCATCAGCACTTTCTGCAGTTGGCGGAGACTCCCGAATTCCTTAAGATGAATGCGCAACAGGTACTATACTCGTACTGTGCCTGTCCGCGTTTAGTCTTCCAGTTCCGACCGTTCTGCGCCGTTTTCTACAAATAAAAATAAAATAATCAAACTGGAAATGAATTTTACAACTAAAAAAAATGAATTTTCACAAGTATTTTCCGAAGATTTTAGTTGATCCAGTTTTTCATCTATCTGTATAGTTATTTCAATGATGATCAAAGTTTCTAGATTTGCCGGTGGAAATACATTTGAAAGGAAATTTCCAGTTTAAGAAAATTAATTAAAATTAGTGTTTTCTAAATGTGATTTCTCAGTATTTTTTTCTGTTTTGAACAAATGCATCCAGTGAAATAAATATTAATGTTAACTGAAGCAGCGTTATTGGCAACACTAATCTTTCACGTGTGAAACTTATTAAAAGCGGTTATTGTATTGGACAAAATTTTCCACGTGAATTTACTGAAATAAAAATTATAAAAAATTATCCAGTTGGTCATTTCAAAATTCTCTAAAGTTCGGTTGGATTTTGGCATGATTTGGTTTGGAGGTGTTGAAAAAATGTTTGAAATGGAGATGCTGAAGCCTACTCTTGCCCGCCCGATACGGCCTACAGCACGCTGGTAATGAATGTGTGTTGCAGTTGGTGGACGTGTTGGCATCGGATGCCGTCGCGGTGGTCAGTGAGGATCAGGTGTGGCAGGCGCTGCAGCGCTGGCTGGCCCACGACCATGCCGCACGCCGGGCGCAGCTGCACACCGTCCTGCCGCTGGTCTGCGTGCCCTTCCTCAGCGAGCCGGCCGCGCGGGAGTACGGGCTGGCGCTGGCCAGTGCGCCGGCCACGTCGACGGGAAGCGGCGGGCAGAATGTCGTGGCGGGCGGGTCGGCGCCCCACCCCGCACCCCGCCATTCCTACGGTAAGCGTCTCGGATGAATTATTATTATTACTATTTTATTTATTAATATTATTGTTATTACTAATTATTTTTACTTTTTAATTTACTATGTACTACCTATCGCGGGCGACGTTACTGCATTAAAAAAAGTTGAGTACGCTAATATATTACCTAAAAGTTGTATTACGCTAAAAGTTGAGTACGCCACAAATTGCAGGCGAAGAAGACAAGATTCCTGGACGACACGGGAAAAAACACTGGCAGGCACCGTGCTGCGGCAGGGTAACGGACAATTCCGCTAATTTGTGGCGCCACATTTATGGTCAAGAGGCTACACCCAGTCAAAAGGCCAGCCTGCCATGTAGGAAATGGAGGACGGGAAAAGGGGAAAAACGGTATAAGCAGCAGAAGCCGCCAGCAGAGCTCCCGCTGGAATTCTACCTCAACCCAAAAATTCCGCAACCGAATCCGGAGGAAAAGACCCACCGCATAAACGTGAAGAGGATTCCATATCCGGACTGGCGTGTCATGCGCATCCGAGAAAAAGACAAGCCAGCTAAAGTGAGTGAAAAACAGTAATTATAAAATTGTTTTTCGTCTGTTGTGATTTAGTTCGTACACTTTGTTTAGAACTGATTTAATGCCTTTCCTAATAAATCGCTTGCAAGTGTCAATCGGATACCAGTGGATGTTTAACAGAATCAAATATAAACCTCATTATTATGTGTTTTCTGTTCAGTTGGAGAATTCAGTTTACCACAGAATAATACTACTGCTACCCTGCACTTGTCCATTTATTTTGCAGTACACGCCGGGGGCCGCCGGCCGCCGGCGTCACCCGGCCCCGCCTCCGAAGCGCGTCAAGAAGAAGTAAGCGGGCGGGAATGCGTGGCGGTTGCGCACCGGCATGGCGGATGTGTTGGGTCGTTTTTCCTGTTTTCTGGATAAGATTTTCGTGTTTTGTTTTTTGCTGACGCCGTGTGTAGCGTAGTGCAGTGGCTCTGATGTCACGAGAATGTGGTGTAATTTACTACAGATTGTCGCCGCACCGTTTCCGTCGCGGTAATGGTTTTGTTTTAACTGGAGAATTTTTCGGGAATTTTCCTCGAGAAAAATTGTGATTAAAACTCGGAAAATGCCGTAATTATAATTGCAGAAAAAAATATATGTGCATATACATATGTATGGCTGACTGGGTATTAATCAGTTAAATAATATGCAGGAAATCCATATAAGCACCAATTCATCACCAAATTAAAAGAGTAAAATACGTGTAGAAATATTATTAGTCAGTTATCTGTACAACGAGTGAACGAAATTCCTCAGATAATATGATGCGTAAATAAACTCGCAAGTATTAAAATTAAAATTTTAATGGTGGTTCAAGTAATCCGCACGCAATAAGCCGCTATTTGCACTTACCAGAATACACCTTCTTACACATACAAATTTAATCGGGAATAAATTTATATTTGAACAGGAAAATCATTCAAAATCTTGTACACTTAATAATATTCGGCTAATTAATTAATCAACTATGGTCAGTCGACCCACGCCGCATTAAACCGGACATGACCTTTATATATACAAAGTACCCAAATACAGCCGTTACCGCTATATTTGTTATCATTGTTGTATAACGTGATAGACCAATTAAAAACGCCGTATAGAGAAATTAGCGATAAAGTGCCGCTGTACGATACATCCATACACTTCAACTAACGTTGGGCTCAGCGTCGGCCGAACGTGATGAAAGCATTGCCGCGTCAGCACAATTATACGGGACAGCGGTTTCCGGCGAAAACGTCCGCCGGCCACCCGTGGCGGGCGGGTGGCGACACGACTAGTACCGGCTGGTTTCAGGCTGTATCGTATTTCCGCGAAGCCAAGAAATGCCGGTCAGCAGTTCGTCTTTACGGCGAAGACACTCGAAATTCTCTCCCGGATAACGCACGTCGTTATTTGGCAAATATTCAGCATTATACGCCGCGACGGTCGACGCTGAATTTCCGGCAGCCGATTCGCCTGTTACAGTGGCAATGACGCGCAGCGATATCTACGTTAGTGCGGATTACACAGTATTATACTCGTATTATTATTATCGTTTATTAACCGGTAATTAGATTTTTGGCTGCTGGAAGACGGACGCCATGAAAGCGGCTGTATTATTGCTGGTACTGATGATTGCCGTGCAACGGGCATCCGGATGGCCATACGCGGTATATAAATTTTCGGCTGAATTTATTACCATCCTGATTTGAAAATTTTGTGTGCATATTGCGGTCATAATAATTATTTTATTAATAATTATTACAGCGCCGATATTCCGTCGCCGGTCACCGTTGGCAGGATGGTCCTATTAGCATCCTTGCCGCAGCCGGTATGTATCACCCGGCGTGTATGTAACCATTAATTTAAAAATTCTACATAAATTTTATCAGTAATTTTATAATTTAAACGTTAATTTTTACCGCTGTTACACGGGATTTTATTTTTTATTTCTAACCACACTGAATCGTATTACTACATTTTGCTGCGATCTATCATTTTATTTTTTTGCTTGTGTTTATTTGCGGTCGCAATTAGCGACACTGAATTTATTATTTCAGAGTGCCGCGTATTTTTTAAAAATTTATTCAAAATTGCGACGGAAACTCCCATTGTCTGGATAGTACCCGTACATACATATAAGATTTAAAGCGACATTTTATTTTATTTCTTGTTTTTAATAAATTTACTGGCGGTCGTTGTTTACGAGAGACTCAAGTTTTTATTGATTATCATGGGTGTTGATGTGCGGTAATTAGCGATACTGACGTGTACTATTTATTGTATTTGCGGCAGTTTATTTTATTTTATTTATTTGGATCTGCAATTCCCATACGTAGTGCATAATACATATACCGCACGTGGATAATTATTTACTTTAGTAGAACAGTGCAGTACATAATTGTTAAATGACTTACTTATTACTCGTACTATATATACTGTATACGTAATTACTACAATTTAATAAAATTAAAAAATTAGAAAAAAAATAAATTAAGAAGTAGAAAATTAAAAAATTGTAAATTAAAAAAAAATTTAAAAACAATTAAAAATAAATTAAAAATAATTTAGTAAAATGAGAAAGAGTAATAATTGAATATTATTGCTATATGATTTGTCTGTTAATTGGAATGGTCAGTGTGATGGTGCTCTTGCAGGCCGGCATGCGCGCGACGTCCCCGGCGACGAGCGCGCCGTCCTCAACCTGAGCTTCTTCCTGACCTCCAACCGGCCGAAACCGGCGCCCATCCCGCCGCCCGTCGTCAGCCGCAACCCGCTGGCCCGGCCGCGGTGATGATTAAATAATCCGGGCTTTAATTTGTATAAGATACTCTCATCACAGCACAGCGCTGAATATTACTACGGACCGGTATACATATTTTATCAATTTGTTTATACATGTATAATTGTATATCGTGCAGACCGTTCAAATTATTTTAATTCTAAAATAGGCGCTTATGGAATTACGGCGCTTTTTGGGAATAATCATCACAGCTTTCTCAGATTACTTGCTGATTGGTGTATACTTTTTATTTCACAATTAATTTACAGTATCTGTATGTAACAAGTTTTAACGTTCCAAGTGGGAATAAATTGTATTAAAGGTCAGCCGCAAAATTATATGCGTCATCGATTCAGAGAAGTTTTGAAAAATAGTTCACAACTTCTAATAAAATGAATTAAATTCACAATAACATAATTTAAAAATTTCAAGAAACTATTTTAATCAAATTAAACCATTTAAAAAATTAAACTTTAATTATTTTAATAAACGTAAATTATTGAAAAATATTAATTAAATTAGTTAATGTTTAATTGACACGTAAAATGAATTTCCTGCCGCGTGCCGGCACACGGATTTGTTTCCAACCAGTTTTTCTTAATTAAGTCGGCACACATCGCACTACCTTGTCGAATTCTGAGCGTACAATTTCTGCCCGAGAACAAGTGAAATTAAATTAATATTTATTTTTCGCCAAATTTAAATTTTATTCCGAAAAAAAAACATAGTGTGGTATTAAGTCTGAAAGTGACGGCCGGTAAATTAAATAATTCGCAAAATAATTCCTGTATTACCATGAAATCAGCTTTAATTACATAATCAACAAGCTGTGAATTTTTTTAAATTGACCAATGGATAAAGCATTATCTGCAAAAAAGAACTAATAAAGAAAATACAAGCGCACTTCTTGCATGAATAACACAACGGATACAGGCCAAACTATCAGCCACATACAGATACACATGTTAATTATTAGGAAAACAATTAATGCGCATCAAAGATAAAACACGATAAGCGCATAATGAAAACAATTCCATGACAAAAAATAGCCGATTAATATTAGTGCGCTGCAGGTAATTTCGGTCGGTCCCGAATTATGGCGGCCTGGCGCGTGTACCTGCGAAATAAATACTGCTTTGAATTTTTTCCGATTACTAACATTTCCTTTCGTAATGGAAAGCGGAAATATAATTTTACGTAAATTATACGATGCCAGTTAAAAATTAAATCTTTGTTTCTCAATTTGCCAAATCAAATTTGAGAAACAAAGAAGACAGGTTACACTGAAAATTAAACTGACCATGAGGTAAAAATCAAATAATTTCGCAATTTAAAAGGGAGAACATTAGAAAAATAAAAAAAGAAACGGCACCGAAAAATACAATTATCTGGAAAATTAGAACCTATAATATTGTATTGAAAATGAAAACGGAATTTAAAAGGAAAAAATGGACGAGTACGGGCAAAGAGCGAAAAAATTACAGTTAATCCGTATAATAAACTGAATAGCAAAAATATAATAAATGTAACATTACTGATTGAATTATATGTGGAAAATATAATAAATACAACATTACTGATTAAATTATAAGCGGAATATTTAATGGATAAATTCTTAATTATTTAAATATTAAGAAACCACACTGGGCGAATTAAATGTGGAAAATTCGGTAAATGACATCAACTGACCCGTCGACTACTCCATGCCCTCCTCCACCAGAATGGCGAAGGTCTGGCTCTCCGCGTCCCAGGTGCGGCGCGTCTGGCAGGCCTTGTCGTGCCCGCCCACCCCTTCCCCTTCCCGTTCCCCTTCCCATTTCTCCGTCTGGATACCGACGTCCCACCCACTTCCGGCACGCCCACTTCCGGCCCGGCCGCCTCCCGCTGTCAGCCCGGCATTCCCCGCGGCGCCACTGCCCGACGGACCGGCCTCCTCCATATCCGCATCCCGGGCGGCCGCCATGTCTGCAGAAAAATAAAAAAAAAATAAAATGCCAAAAAATAAAATATTAGAAAAGATTTTTAAAATTGCTCAGAAAAGGAAAATATTAGGAAATGATTTAAAATTACCCGGCTGCTCCCCGCGACGGTCTCGCTTCCCTGGAAATAAGCCAACGCGTTAAATTACAAATCGCCAGTGCCAGGTAAAATTTATTAAATTAACTTATCGCTGTTTGAAAATTTAATTGTAGATTATTTATTCATCATTTATTTTTGGATACTTTTATTTTGCAGCATTTTTCTTCTATGTATCATTTTCCATTTTATTTTACGAGGATTTGTTCGTATCCAACTGGATAGGATTTGAAGGATTAGTTAGGCAGATGTACTGCATGATTTTATCGTAAAAGTAGTTTATTACGTAACCTATAAGCGCAAAGAAAAAAATAAATAAAATCGCTAAATAAAATAATATATAAGAAATGGCAAAAGGGATAAAATGCCGGTTGACCTTTAGCACGAGCCGGCTGAACGTCGTCGATGTCCATTTCCATGATGCCATTTTCGATGATCATGACGGAATCTGCCAAGTTAAGTAAATATCATTACAATAACTTTTTTGTGAAATCTTACAAATTAGGGACACACAAATTCTGAATACGAAAGTTACGGAATTTCGCACAATTAATTACCGTCGGCATTCTCATCGCTCTCCACTGTGGCAGCAGCGCGCATACCTCCGTGACCTTTTTGCTCTGCAATGTCCACAACAAAATATTTGGCGGTGGGCACTTTTTCGCACTGCTCCCTTTATTCTAATTAATTTAACAAATATACGTACTTGAAGGAATATTTATTACAAGAATATACAATGATTTTTTAAGTTTATTTGTGAAAAATATATAATTTCATAGTAATTGTATTCATTTTAATTAATCTAAATTTTTATCGGCCGCCTGCAATTTGAAATATAACTGAAAAAATATATAATGTTATAGTAATGTTATTTATTTTAATTACCGTAAATTTCTATTAGCCGTCTGTAATTTAATTTTATGAAACTATATTTTTTTGATTAATTTAAAATATATACACACAAAATAATACTAATATTATTCATTTTAATTAATGTGAATTTCTATTAGACGTCTGTAATTTCTGTACCGAATTCATAGTTCTCAATATTGCTTCCTTAATTTTAATTATTTTAACTTTATTTTATTTAAATTTAATTTTATTTAATTTATTTTATTTTAATTAATTTAATTCAACAATTTAATGGAACATAATTGCGTCAGTCTGAAATATGGCGGGCGGAAACTACTTGCATGGGGAAAAATTACCAGCGCAGAAACGTGGTCGATAGTCGTTGAGCGCGTGGCCGATACCTTGTTGGCGGCGTCGATGACGCTGAGATAGGGGAAAATATCCGGCATCCACTCCTCCACGTTGCCCGCCGCCCGTTCCGCCTCCGCACCCGCCCCGCGCTCCGCCCGCTCCACCGCCCAGGGTGGGTTGCTTGCGATGCTCACCTGCACAGTTATTCCATTTTCTTTTCGTTTATTGATCAAAAATTTAACCAGAAAATCAATTATGCCGGATAACTCTTCATTGCGGTAATTACCGTACACAGAAAATAATTAAAAAAATAATTAATAGAAATAAAAAATAAAATAATATTAAATAATAATGAGAGCGTAAAAATTAATAATAATAGTTTATTAATCACTAATATAACCAGAAAATTAAATGTGCGGGATAACTCTTCATTGCGGTAATTACCGTACACAGAAAATAATTAAAAAAATAATTAATAGAAATAAAAAATAAAATAATATTAAATAATAATGAGAGCGTAATAATTAATAATAATAGTTTATTAATCACTAATATAACCAGAAAATTAAATGTGCGGGATAACTCTTCATTGCGATAATTACCGTTCACAGAAAATAATTTTAAAAAATTAATTAATCGAAATAAAAAATTAATAATAATAAATAATAATCATAGCTTAATAATTAATAATAATAGTTTATTAATCACTAATATAACCAGAAAATTAAATGTGCGGGATAACTCTTCATTGCGGTAATTACCGTACACAGAAAATAATTTAAAAAATAATTAATAAAATGAAAAATAAAATAATATTAAATAATAACGACAGCGTAATAATTAATAATATTAGTTGAAGTGATTTATTAATAAATTATTTATAGAAATAAAGGAAGAAAATCCATTAATAAAAATAAAAAGACAAAAAATGTTAAATATCTGTAACACTTATTATTAATTTCATAAACTATTATCAGATTAAACTTTAATGTACAAGAAATGAGGAAAAATTGAACTGTACGTACCCAGCGCTGGCGGTGCTTTGGACCTGTTGGCGCTGGCGCCCTTGCGGAGAAACCGCAGACGCGAACGGATGCTGGGACGCGTATGACGCTTTTCCAACTGAATGCAGTCACAATATTTGTTCTACCATTAAGTTTTCATTTTATTTCGCTATTATTTCATTAGCATACTGTAATGATAATGATTACCTCCTTATTTTATTAATACAAATTGCCATAATTTCATTTTACCATGACTCATTTAATTTAATAACAATTTATTTGTCGAATACTGTTCCTAAAATATTTATACAACATTTTTTCTGAATTTATTTGTATATACATTTATTTATCTACATAAATATACACACACATTTATATATATAAACATATTTATATATATTATACATTGATTTATTTATATCTTATATATATTCATATCTGTATATATATGTATAAATATTTATATCTGTATATATTTATATACATTTATTTATCTATATATGTATATACACATTTATATATATAAACATATTTATATATTATAATGATTTATTTATATCTTATATATATTTACAGTATATATTTACATCTGTATATATATGTATAAATATTTATATCTATATATATTTATATCTATATATATTTATATCTATCTATATCTATTTGTTGACCGACATATTGCTGATTCGCAGTTTTCGTTGACCGTCCGATAATCCGTCCCTGTAGCATTGTTTAGTGACGTTTTGCCGATAGAAATTGGTTGTCCGGCAACATATTTGTTGGACTGGTTCCCAATTTCTAAGATCCCTTAAATTCCGGGGTCTTTCCCATGCGCCCTAATGTTTTATTCTCAGACTTCTTAGTATTTGTCTTCTGACTGGGTTTTGTGTAATACCTTATATATCCAAATAATGTCGAAAACAGTTTGCCGGTGTTCAACAATAACTACGATTTTCGTTTACTCGTTTCAAACAGGTTGTCGGGTAAACATTTTGTCGGTCACTACGATAGCGGTCAGCAGATCTTACTGACGAAGATGTTGCAGGTATTTGAAAGATGGTGGTAGCAATATGGCGGTTCTGGAGGTCAATGCACTGTCAGGTTATCAGTTTGATGAGGAGGAGGTTAAACAGCTGCCGCACACGGTGGAAGCATTGCGAAAAGCCGTACTTATCAACAAGGACACCCAGCTTAATCTGCACTTTGACGAGGTAATTACGGCCGTGGTTCGCTGGTATTGGCCTCGGCTTGGCTGACCTGTCTTACAAACGCATGACAACATCATACTTTTGCACATGAGCCCGTCCGCTAAGTGCTTCATGGTGACCATGTACCTCATCTACAAAGTGGATAATATGAAGAACCAGAGCGTTGTAGTGTATGATTACTGCAACCCCAAAGAACGACGAAGCTTCCTATATGCTCCGCTGTTTTACGGTGCTTTCGTTTAAATTAAAACCGGATGGCTTTCTTGTAGTCTGTAAACCTTAACGAAACCAGTAGTAAGTGTCGCATAGAGAGCTTGCTTCAAGGTAAAAGGTCATCTGCTTGTGAGATTCTACCGATGTCGGCAATGATGTTGCAGGCGGTATGTGTAAGCGAGCTTATCTGTTGCGCTTAGGTTTGAACCAACAATAAACAGGAGACATAAGGAAACATATACATAAAAAATAAGAAATAAGAAACATAAGAAGCTGTGGACCGATTTGAGGAGTGTACTTAAGTGAAGCACGCATGTGGTAATCCATGCCACCGCTTAACCAAATTAAAAAAAAATTTTTTGCTATTTTGTAAGTATCTATCCGAATCTTCGATTTTAAAAGTGGTTCTTTCGGAGCTAAATGTTTGTTTCCGAACTAACCAATATTTGATAAAACTTTTTAAACTTTATAATCTGATAGCGGTGGCACGGTTGCTCCCCTTATATCGAAATACGATAGCTAAAGCGCTACTGCTAGCGCAATGCCTGCAAATCCAAAGTTGGGGGAACAGCGTGCACGTAGTGCAGTCAGCGCATGTGGATGTAGTAGCATGTAGTAGCGCATGTAGTAGCATGTGGATAAGGACCTTTAATAAGTATCATGTTACGAGTACAAACTATGCACCATAACAAAACGGCATTTACAAAAGAAACACTTCCTCTATGCTATCCTGATCGGGGATAGTACCCATTACACAAATCGCGTTTCCCCGTTGTATTTGCATAGATATTCGCTGTTTAAAAAACTCTTTCGCCCGCTTTTGGCCAGTTGAAGTTGCTATACCGTTTCCAACCGTTTCCACTAGCTTTTTAGTACCGTCTCCATAAGGTCCGTAAATTTCGAGTAGCATGTAGTCTTATGTATTCTTTTAGTTCTGCTTTTTCCACGCCCTATTGACCTTTGCAGAGAAAATATTTTTTTAAGTAAATGATAGTAGTATTGTAGGTTTTTACAAAAGATGAGGCTTTTTTGAATTGGAGTCTCCCTATGTGCCCTGGTAAGTGGTGCTTACGTTCAGCTGCCCATAGTTTAGGAATTTTAAGTTGGCCCTGTACGCTGCAGTACAGTGCGCAATGGACATCCTGCATCCTTCTTCACTCTATGTATTCATGCGTGTACGGAGGACCATCCAGTATATGACCCCGCTATTTATGCTAAATTCGGATTTTCCCAATGAAGATTTCTATAAAGGCCGCACATCTGACCCGCTTTGAGTTCGCATTCATATTCACCAGCGCTTACATTTTACATTTTTCGATTCCAAATCCGATTGTGCAGTAATTTGCCCTCCAACTGCTATCAAACCCTCTCAATTTACCAAGTGAAAATATAGTTTTACTGCACGTGCTAGGATTTTAAGAAGACATATACGCCAAAGTGTCGGCGCTACCGTTGCACCGTTTCATTTTCGTTACCGGCTAGAACCCATTTGCACGGACATGGATGTCATCAGTGCGTATCCTTTCCGGGCCATCTCATCTGGACCACGCGAATTTAATTATGGGAACACGGTGATGGTGCAGCAGGTCAACGGGGAGTGGTGGCTGGGATACGTGCAGGATATCGACGAGGACCGCATGTTCGTTAATTTCGATTCCACAACGGCTCCCGCCGGCTGGATCCACTCCCGCCACATCCGGGCACAACGCTTCTTAAGCGATCAGCAGTGGAATAACGAATATGACCACGAAGTGGCCCGAAACGGCAGTGTTGCGGTGCAGGTGGCGCTGCGCAACGGCGAGAACGGACCATACGTGTTTCGATCGGCGCGGCTTCTGACATCCACAACGCGATTTGGTATTTTCCTCGTGGAACTGCATCATGCGACACCACAGCGTTTGGTGGTCCATCTGTGGCAGATTGCCATCCCGATTGAAGCCGCTGCCGATGGACCGCCGCTGTACAACGGGACCAGCGATCTGTACTATCGCAAATTCACCGTGCCTTTAACGAATGCCAGCATGATTCCATTGCTGAATCTGGATGCTATACGTAATTGTTTGTACACAGTCGCGCAAGCCCCTTCCAATGAAGGATATTCTTGGGGTAACAGTTACGTTGCATGTCGGATCCATGTTGCTGTCACTGGGAATGCTCTGCACTTTATCTGCGGCCAGCTCCGTGCTATTGACGTTCGTGAGCGGGCCGAATGGAATATAGACACATTAACACAAGCTTGTGCGAAATTATATCCAGTTCCGTCTCTGTTGAATGATACTGTATTGAGCGCCCAGGAACAAGGTTTAATTTTCGGTATGTTCATACTTCTATTTACACAGCTACTGGCATCCGCCTAGTATTATCGGGTATATTGCACAATCGGATGAAACATTAAAAAAGTGAATGTCGCTTATTTAAATTATAGGCAATGACGGAAGGATTGGTGATCTGGTGCATTCAGTTACGGCTCGCGTTCTCCAAGATTTGGACCTGTATACTCAAGCAAAAGCAAAAAGGTAACGAATAATCAAATGGTTCTCGCAGTATGTTTCTTGTTTAATTACTAAACACTTTATTTGCAAATCTTACAAGGAATAAACAAAAGATTAATTTTTTTCAAAACAGCAAATGTGGGGGAGATAATTTCGATGTTTTATTCGACTCTTAATTTGATTGCTCCATCCCATGAAGTAAATTCCCATACACATTCTGAACCAAAATCAAGCTGGTCAGATCTAAAGTGACCAAGCTATAAAACTTTAAAATGTTCGACCATTCACGGCATCTTTGTTTTACATGATATTATCACCATATGGCTCAGAATGTTCTTTAGATATAGATTTATCATATAGTAAGTTTGGTCGGAGTCGGATAGATAGGCGAATTATATGACGCGTCCCAGTTTTTAAACTTTTTCCGGTGATAGCACAGCAGCCGGTTATTGCGCGCACATTTTGAGTTGGAATCGGTAAAGTTCAATGCACGAAATTTTCATTTTTGCGACCTCATAACTCATAAGCGCTTTGTTGCTTTGTTTTTATGACTTTCTGCAGCCAGATAATGTGTGTACATTGGCGTAAAAACCGTTTGTGCGCTCAACATCTGGTTTGGGAGTTCGGACTGTAAGAAAATCCAGAAGGTTTAGATGCATTCAAGTCTCCCGAATAAAGTCTCATTATGGATACAGATCATCTGGCTGCAAAATGCCATAGAATAAAGGGAAAAAGGGTTTGCTTTAGGGTCTGCGCATTGTGGCGTTTGCTGTTATCCGACCGTGACTCCAGCCGACACATTACCATCGACGTCTCCATACTCAAGCCAAGCAAATGCTTCAAGCTCCACGTGCCCTTGCCTTCATGCCACAGTATGTACAAATTCACCTGGGCCGTAAACCAGGCCCTAACCGACGCAACCACCAGCGTTATTCTCACCGGCAATCTTCCGTTCTCCGACTTTGCCATATCTGTTTCCACAATAGTGTTGGTACCGTTGCTAACCGTCAAACGGATGCAGCTGCACTATATCGTTATCAAAGACTGCGTCGCTCGAGACGGTTTTGCGGATTATCCTGATCTGTACGCCTTATCGGAACAAAATGACGAAGATGCTGATGATCCAGCTGACGGTCCTTGGAAGTGCCACAGTTTACGCAAACTAATCTCGGTTAGCCGGCGTCTGGTTCTGCGG